ATCAAAATTGACAAAAATCTTTTTGCACTGCTACTACAAACATTATGAAAAGAAAACTGTGTTACTTATTATTATATTCAACTTACAAGTATGATTTTTAGGATTGGCATGCACTTCAAAATTAGAAAGCCAGCTCAATTGGGTTATCATTTATTATTGAATTTGTGCAGTTTTGTGTGAAATTTCCATTTTTCTCATTCTGGCACTTTCTAAGTGTGAACTAGTACTCCCATGGGCCTGAAGCCTTATGCTTGTTACACATTTCACTTACATTGGTATTACCTGTTGAGCATAATTAAAATTTGATGTTGAATTTGCAGTTAAGCATAATGTACTTTTGCATCAGAATTGACAGTAGCCTATTTTGTGCATTGTTATTGTCTGCTTTTTGTCTGTACATTTGACAGCTTTGCTGCCTTGTTTTTACATTTTTTCTCTTTACTAAAACAACATGCGATTAAACAGGAAAAAAAAACAAGCAAATGGCCATATCTTTTAAACGCAAGAATGCAGATATCCCTAAGCTCGTTATTGACAAATCAGATGTTGAATTTGTAGAATCATTTAAATTGCTTGGATTGTATATCTCTAATGACCTCACAATGGAGTGTATATCTCTAATGACCATCAAATTAAGATATCAAATGGAAGTTTGTTTAAAAATTCAACAACTACCAAGAAATAGGGAGCACTCACATCGAGAAGAGCGGAGGTCTAGTAAGGCCGCGACCTAAATATGGCGGACCTACATGAAAGGAAGACTGCGCATCCTGTTAATCCTCACCACGCGTGGTCCCAGCTGGACCACAGTAATTAAATCTCAGCTCAATTCAACCGGTCGAGGGACAACTCATACGGGGAGGAGAGACCATTAAAAGAATAGCAGTCTTCTTTTCATGAAGGTCCACCATAAATAGGCCGCAGCCTTACTAGACCACAGCACTTCTCGGCTTGAATGCTCCCATAGTATTGGTGTTCAAGCAGTTTTTTAAATTAAGTTGATGTATTTATTAGTTCATTTATTGTATTTATTGGGCTGGCAGTGATATATATTTGATCTTATACTTAAAACATTTCAGACCTACTTGAAGAACTTACACTAGATGTGGGCCATGAAAGTATAGGCTTGAACTCTTGCCGGCCTTGCAGTGGGTATGTAAATACAGTTGAAATGACATTATATAAATTCAATAAGATTTAACTCACTGGAAAGATTAGATAAAGGTTGGTACAAGGCATAAAATGTCCAGTATGTAGAAGAAGCCTAACTTAGAAGAAGTCACTTTTTGCAATGTATGTTAATACAGTTATTTTGCCTATAATTGGATAACTTTGTGGAGTAATCAGGCTTTTAAGTTCCTATTTTGCTGTTTTAAGATATTACTCTTTATCATATTTTCACTGACCCTGTGTATTTCATTATACCTGTTAACTTACTAAAATACATCAGAGAAACCCACTTTATTTGCCTTACCTCTAAAGTATTGGTATGAAAAGCCAAAATTGATAATTTCTACAATTAATTAGGGTATATCTCCATGAGGTGAAGATCAACATGCAAGCATAAACAGTTTTTGCTATTAATATTTAACCTGAGTCTTGTCTTGTTCTTTCAGGGTGCCAGTGACACAAGTGGTGCCCCCTACAACTAAGCCCATGACAAGTTCAGCACCTTTGCCTACCAACTCCAGTGATGTCACTGACTTCACAGGAAGGGCAGCTGCTTCCAAACCTGAGGAAAAGATAAACTATTCAGTAGTCATTGGTGTCTCTGTAGGGGCAGTGGTGATAATAGGAGTAATAGCTTTGATTATAGGTAGCTGTTGTTTGTTAGTTTAAAAGCAGACATGCTGGAACTGTTGGTCTGATCAGTCATGACCAGCAAAATTGGACTTTTGAATTTAGTCATCATTCGACACGCTATACTAATTATTTATATGAAACCCAAAGCTATTTTCCCTTCCGTTTTAAACCTTCACAAACAAAGTAAGCTACCCTTATCGCACTGGTAGTATCTGTCTCAAAAGAATAGGGTGATTTTTGGTCCGAAAAAAAAAATCCATTCAGTCCAGCAAATTTTTCATTACTACAAATGTCCGGCCATTCTGAAAAGTTTTCAGCATGTCTGTAAAAGGCCAACTTTCAATAAGAATGATAGAAAGTATTTACTGTCAGCCACGCTATCTCACCAAGTCATCTAGGCCTGGTCCCTGGTCTAGAATTAACGAAAAATTTTTAAGATAAAAATTTGAGTCTTCTTAGGGGCCATTCAGAATAGAAGATCCAAGTATCAACTGGTCCAAGGATCAAATATGGCTGACCCTACATGAAAGGAAGGCTTCTAGGACAATTCCCCCCCCCTGGACAATTCCCCCCTGGGACAATTCCCCCTCCCCCCCCCCGGACAATTCTCCCCCAAGGGGGGGAATTGTCCTGGGGGGGGGGAATAGTCCGGGGGGGAATTGTCCTGATACCGAAAGGAAGACTGCTTTATCCTGTAATGGTCTCTCCGTCTCTCACACACCTCCCTACACATTGTCCCTGCAGGGGCACAGTAATTCAATCTCTGCTTCATTCGACCAGACTGAACAATTGGTTAATAAGTTATTTTTTTGTTGTCAAACATCATTTTTATATTGTTGGAGACCCAAGGAACATATTTTAGATGCATGTTACTGTCTAATGAGCTGTAATGTGAAGAGATGTGAAATTGTATTAGAGATACTAAAATTCTATTTTCATTTCAGTTATATGTAAAAGATCAGGAATGAATGAATGCAATGTCACAATGTGTAATCTCATTGGAGGTAAAAGTCTCAGTGATAGTATTTTATTCATATAATTTAAAAGAATGCTTTACATTAAAAACTACTGTTGTTTATACAATACTTTATTTAGTTTTTAATCTTGAATTTGCATGATAGATTATTTACCTAAGATTTGAATAAATTGTAAAGATCAAAAGATCAGTTTTATGGTACAATAAAGAATCAATTGTTCCTCTTTCAGGAAACAATCAAAATAGCTGTCAGTATGATCCCGTTAGTCAGTCATCATCTGGGAATTATCAAAATGGCCACACCAATGGCTTGGAGAGGGAAATGTCTTTAAATGCTAACAGTGACCCAGAGAATGAAAGCAGTCCTACTCTAGTTAACGGTAAATAATCTTGCTAGATTTGGATTCAGTTAGCATTAAGTTTTTCAAAATTGAGTAGACTGAGTAACTGACTGACTAGATCCTTTTGATGTGTGTATTGTATATGTCATCAGTTAAAAACTAACATGTTAGTCCTAAAGGTAGCAAAAGCTAAATTTTATAGAAATTTTAGCTCTTTTTTTAATGCCACCTCCTTTGTTCCTAAAATTATGATCCTTAAACCAGTTTTTGACTTCAGAGAATGGCCATGTCAATGTTTTGCCAAGGAGAGAGCAGTTACAGAATAGTGCTGTTGAAAGAGAGGGTGCTCAGATGCAAGGTATTGATTCTTGGCCTAGGTTTGAAAATCCGTCAATATCGTAATGGCTGAATCATTTCAAATGGGAAAAATATCATTATTTCAGATAAAATTTAGAATCATTAAAGTGTTAGTCCTTAAGGTAGCAAAAGCTCAATTTTATAGAAAATTCAGCTCTTTTTTTTTTTATGCCACCTCCGTTGTTCCTTAAATTATGATCCTTAAACCAGTTTTTGACTTCCTTATTTTCTTGTTTCTGGTCTTCAGAGAATGGCCAAAATGACCATGTCAGTGGTTTGCCAAGGGGAGAGCAGTTATAGAATGGCGCTGTGGATAGAGAGGGTGCTCAAATGCGAGGTATTGATTCTTGGCCTAGGTATGAAAATCAGTTAACTTCGTAATGGCTGTATCATCTCAACTGGGAAAATTATCAATATTTCAGATACATAAATTTAGATTCATTTTGGTGCTTTCACTGTTAAGAAAATAACTATTAGGTAGTCTGCTTTTTACTTAAAATATTTAGTGTCTGAAAAAATTCACAATTTTCCTGGTTGAAATGATCTAGCTGTTGCCATATTCAGTGGATAAAATTGAGCAGACTTTTTAGGTTGAGGTGTTTTGTCTTTTGCTACAACCAGAAAATTTTGTAGTTTTATTTTATGGCAATCCTGGACTTGTTATAATAATGATGTCTGCCGTGCACATATAGTGACTTTTAACAAGGTGGGCTGAAAGACAAAATATTTCACTTATACCAGTCTAGTAAAGCTACTTAAGTTATTTAATAAGCTCTCAAAAAGTATGTTAAAGACCAATACATGAGTTTTATGTATTTACAATAAAAATTTCACTTATGCTATGATCATTACCAATTTTGGAGTCAACATATTTTATTTTTCCAACAAGTCATTATTTACAATTTATGTAATTGAAAAAGCAAAAATAAAAAAGATAAGCAGCCATGTTTCTCAACCCTCTTCACATACATGTAGAAGCTTATTTTGCTTCAATAGTTTATAATAAACTTTTTTTCTGTCAGGTGATGATAACCCAGCCCCCCCAGTTCGTTACACATACGACCTCTTTCTGGTGCATAGTAGTGAAGATGAGGAGGAGGTTCTCGAGTTAGCAGAATACCTGGAGGAAGAACATGGCATAAAATGCTGCTATGCAGGCAGAGATTTTCAACTTGGGAAGCGCGTCATGAACAATGTGGAAGATCTTTTTGAGGAGTGTAGACACTCCTTATCGCAGGTGATCCAACACCAATTGTATGGGACACAGAAACACGACGAAAACCCCGCAATACTATACTCAAGAATATCACCGAGCACAAGATTCGAAATGACCATCACCTCAGGGTACACCAACGTGGAATATATCAAGTTCAAAGCCACCTTTGCTTCAAAGTTCAAGTGGACGAAGCAGACGACATCTCGAGCACCTCACTGACTATGAGCGACGGGGACGAGCGCATCGGCAGAGGGCGCTCCAAGACATTCTTACATTTTGTGATAAGAAATTGCCAGGGAAACGAAGATGAAGTGTTGAAAACTTTGAAGCTGGTTTATCTGCTGCCGGGAGAGGAGTATAAATACTGCAGCGATCTGTCCGGCCTTGTTGGCATGGACAGTGGCTGCTCTTTGTATACTAAAATAAAATGTGAAAACGACTCAAATGACCTTACACAATATATGGTGCATTATAATTGGAAATTTTTTGAATTAAACAAAGTGTGACGGTTGCTGTTCTTTCAAATTAAGTGGATTTTTCCTTTGAAATGATACCAAGTGACAAATAACATCCGTCCTTTTTATTTTTTTTCTTTATTTCAATACATTTTTCATGACACTGCTTGAAGATTTTCAGAAAAATTAATATATGTTATAATTGTGCTTAATTTGTTATTTTAACTTTTAAATAACTCCCAACTGCATGAATATCATATATGTCATCTTATTGCTTTTTTTATTTTATCGGAAATTGATATTATGTACGTATTTGTATTATATGTATATATACAAATGTATTTTGTACATTATGCTGACAATATAAGGAAAAAATAATCTGGTGTAATACTGATTTATTGATTTTATTTTAAAAATCTAATGAATTGATTAATTCATTTCATTATTAATTTGAATTTTGAACGTTAGTGTAAATATTGTAAATATGTACATAGATCCGAAGGATTCAGAAGGAAAAAAACTGTGCTGGCCATATTGTTTATTTATAAGGGAATAAAGACAACAAATATGAACTCTATGGTTCAATTCCTTTCGACTTTAGAGCGGTTTAATTCTAGATCTTTTACATTGCATGCATATTAAATTTGACCCTACTCCCCTTCATATAGACTGAATAGCCTTTTAAAAACATGGGTGGGAAACAGGTCAGCAGTGGCGGATTTAGAGGGGGGGGGGCTCAGGGGGTCCTGACCCCCCCCCCCCCCCCCCCCCCCCCCCCCCCNCTCCCAACTGCATGAATATCATATATGTCATCTTATTGCTTTTTTATTTTATCGGAAATTGATATTATGTACGTATTTGTATTATATGTATATATACAAATGTATTTTGTACATTATGCTGACAATATAAGGAAAAAATAATCTGGTGTAATACTAATTTATTGATTTTATTTTAAAAATCTAATGAATTGATTAATTCATTTCATTATTAATTTGAATTATGAACGTTAGTGTAAATATTGTAAATATGTACATAGATCCGAAGCGGAGTTAGTTTCAGAAGGAAAAAAAACAGTGTGCTGGCCATATTGTTTATTTCTAAGGGAATAAAGACAACAAATATGAACTCTATGGTTCAATTTCTTTCGACTTTAGAGCGGTTTAATTCTAGATCTTTTACACTGCATGCATATTAAATTTGACCCTACTCCCCTTCATATAGACCGAATAGCCTTTTAAAAACATGGGTGGGAAACATGTCAGCAGGGGCGGATTTAGAAGGGGGGGCTCAGGGGGTCCTGACCCCCCTTTTCAGTCTCAGAAATAAAATCACACTAATGGCCCCCTTTAAATTAGGATTTTGACTAGATGAATATCATAGTTCTAAACCGTACCAAATGGCACCGTTCGACCTCTAAAATACCAAATTTAGGGGGGCATTAAGCGGGCCACGAACTCCACCCTAGCGCTCCCCCCGCCAAGGGAGGGGGTGTCGGGTCGGTTTCGCATTCGCGTACCCCACCCCCTTCAAATGTTCCTGGATCTGTCCCTGGGTCGTGATCGTAGAGGTGGACCTGCTGAAATTTCTGAAAAAAAAACAGTTTCAACCTACTGATATGGCCCCTATTCTGTTGACTTTGGTCTTTTTCTTCCATCTCATCTCTCCGACTTCAAAGCAAAACATCCACCCCGCCCATGCATGTATTTTATTAAATAACAAGTTGGCATAACTGTTTGGTGGTTTGTGTCTTTTCTCACTCAAATGCTTGATAAAAATAAAAGATACGATGAAAAGTAGGCTTCTGAACCTGAATGTATCAATTTAAAGAAAATCTTTCAACAAAACGTATCAAGTGTCAAGCATTAAGAAAAAAAATCATTTAGACCAAAATGCCAAATTGACTTCCTGGTTCGACGAATCCCCACGTTCAGCAATACCCCATTGGATTTTTCCCAATCGATTTGTGACTGAGTCATGTTTCTTTTCTTAGGCATGTGGAAACTTTACTTCTTACTCCCACACAAAGGCATTTCTTTCATTGCATAAGACACAAGGGACGAACAATTGATACAAAACACTCGAGGGACCCGTTGGGCATTTTTGTTACCCGTTCATGCTATTGAGCGTGAGCTCTCCATCCCAGTGACTCGTGAATTCTGATTCTTATTTTTCTCCGCCCGTGAATTGGTTATTTGTGGTTTCCGGATTACCGAAACGCATTTTAATGAAATGTTGTTATTTTAAACATAAAATGTTATCAGTGAGATGTGAATAGAGAAGGCCTATTATTTACTGTGATTTGTAATTTTATTTTTCCCACGAACGTGACCATTACCACCACCCCCTATGTGACCCTCATACATTGTACTACACGTGACTTTAACTTTTTATTTATTTATCTATTAATTCATTCATTTTTCTATTTATTTATACACTGAATATCAAAATTTTATAATCATATTTTTATTACATTAACTGGTGTAATGAGAAATTGTACAGTGTTTACATACCCTAGTATACACCAGGGGATGAAAATTGGTAGATTGCAGATGGGACGGGGTGCAACAGTGGCGGATTTAGGGGGGGGGGGGTCAGGGGGTCCTGATCCCCCTTCGGTTTCTGAAAAAATTAAACCAAAAGTCCCCTCTTGAAATTAGAATTTTTGGCTAGCTATATCATAGCAAAACACCAAAAATGTCCTTCAGCGGGTCCCTCAAGGGGGTGGGAAGGGGGGGGGGGCTTAATTGGGTCCTCTTCCCAGCCAAGGCCTGTGATTCCTAACATAAAACTGCCCCCCCCCCTTCAATCCGCCCTGTGCATGCTATTTCAATATAAATAATCAGTCTGTTTCAACAATTTCCAGCCGACTGAGTCTAAATACAATCAGTGTCTAGAATCTACTGAGTCATATTTAGCTCAATATAAGTGGCCTGGAACTAAGAAATACGCAAGACTATTTTGCTCTCCCAGTTAAATTTTACCAACTTGGGTCGCAAATCATTTTCTGAGAAATAATAACGTGCGGTATTTGATAACTCAGTTTTTCTGGAATAATATTTTCCTTGGGAAGTGGTTATATTTTACTGTAGATAAACAAATGTAAATCGTTGCATGTTGTGTGAGTCTGCCTACATTATTGTACAACTGGCATACTCATGGGCAGATCCAGCTGGATTATTTGAAGAAGGAGCCCAGCATTTTAGGAATGGCAGGCCATGCCACCGATGCGAAACCGGTAAGTTGTTTTCAGTGTCAAAGTCAGTGAATGATTTCGCCCTTGTAAAGACTAAACACGCACGACGTTTAATTAAGGCTGGTACATGTAGGCCTATATTAAGCAAGTGTCAGGAGGTATCGCTGGTACCAACCCCTCAACCACCTTGAAAAGAAAAGTTAGCAGCAGTTCCTACCACCGGTACTGAAACAGATGGAGATCCATTGATTTTAACACGGTCCTCTACCCGACTTGATGGCCTTGGGGATTTGTCGTTAGATGGCGTTTTCACTTGTTGCTTCCCTTTCACAACGAGGCTGGTTTGTTGGGAAATCCCCAGTGGTGGGTGGAAGGGTATCACGTGATTTTCGGGAGCCAATGAAAAAAGCAGGAATTTTACACTCCGTTATAGGTAAACAAAATGGCACGTTCGACGCACCGGGGAGGATCGTTTATTTAGGAGGCATGCACATAAATTTGGTGGGTATTTTAAAAGCATTTTACTATTTACAACGATCAGTACCATCTCAACTTAACTCATTGTAGTGATCCGTTAATTAGAACTGAGTCTTCTAAATTTGCATACATCAGATATGTATATATTTGTACATTTTAAATTAACTTCTCTTAAACTGCCATGCAACATGTCATGTCTAAGTATATTTGAGTAATTAAAACGTACAAATATATACATATCTGATGTATGCAAATTTAGAAGTAGTGATCCGTTAATTAGAACTGAGTCTTCTAAATTTGCATACATCAGATATGTATATATTTGTACGTTTTAATTACTCAAATATACTTAGACATGACATGTTGCATGGCAGTTTAAGAGAAGTTAATTTAAAATGCAAATCAAGATTTAATTTAAATGTATCTACAATTAAGTTAATGTACATAGGCATGGCATGTTTCATGACAGTTACGAAAGCTAATTTGAAATGCAAATTAAGATAGAGTATAAAGGCAGTGACTTAGCCACTGAGAGAGACTTACAGACTGAGAGAGTTAGAGATAGTTATAGATACGGTAGAAGAGACCTGAGTCTTCAGGCGCTTGAATAAACCATGTAACAGAAAACTATTCCTGCCTGTCTCGGCTGACTTATTGGTGAAAAAGTAACTTAAAGAAAGTGTATAACCACCGACCGGTTATTACATCATGTGAAGTGATTTTCAAGTGTTTGGTCTGTATATGTTTTTATGACAATTTAAACTAGGCATAGCTTCATATGTAGTTTGACAATTGTAAACTGAAGTTTTCACACCACAAGCCTTCTTTCAAGTGAAATATCTCGAAAAGCACTCGGACGATTTTTTTCCAACTTTTCAGTAATGTTGCTCATTTATTTGTTGACAAAAAGTGCCGATGGCACCCGATGGGACCCCTGGATCTTTAGAGATATAGACGGTATAATCCTTCATACCCAATTACGACCATTTTTGTAGGAATGCGTCTTTATAATGTTAAACTCCCTCATTAAAAAGCATATATCTGAAAAAGTAAACGGTAGATTTTTTCCAAATCTTAATCTGACGTTTTTCGTGTACCTTTTTACATAATATGTAGCCTGCAACTGACAGCACCCCTGGGTCTTGGGATATATAGACAATGCAGTGCCATGGCAAATTACGGCCATTTTTGTTTGAGTGAATTTTGGATCACGCAGACCCCGTCTTTCAAATCAAATATCTGAAAAAGCAATCGGACAATTATTTTCAAAATTGTCAGAAATGTTGCTTAGATATTGGTTAGCAAAAAGAGCCTATGGCACCCAATGGCACCCCAGGATCTTGAGAATTATAGGCTGTATATAGTGCATGCCAAAGTACTGTTTTGGTTATCCCACAGCCAGCATTTATAACAACAGCATAATTGCACTTGTATATCACTTACATGCTTGTCTGTATTTTAAAGCATAATGTGCAATCTGATCACTATACAAGCACATTCCTACAACTGTTGAAGGGCTAGTCATGGTATTAGTCAGTTACAACTACTTGTCATTCACTGTGTATGATGTACAAGAGCCTATTATATCTCAACTGTAGCTCCATATAATAGCACTCTTTTATGCCACATACAGTAATTGGCTCAAGTACATATCAAATAAACATTTTTTTTAAATACTGATGATAAGTCTCATATCTTTTTCAGCATGGACTACAATTTTTATTTTTGAAATGCTGTGCACTATAAAGGTGAGAAGTAATTCATCGGAATACCATAGTTGTAAACTTGTGACTTATGTTTCCATTGCTCATCTATTTCGTTAACATTGACAAAAACATGTTCTGTGTTTGTTTTGCCTAAACTTTCATTTTAATCTTACTATCATAAAAATTGAAATCATATTTAAGTATAATGGTAACAGGTTACCTAAAAAGTTGAAGCCTTATCCAGTTAAATAATAATAATATCAAATATAAAACATTTACTGCTTTTTAATTTCAGGGAATGGAAACAGCTTATAACCTCATAATGGGATACCGCCTATGGATTGTAGCTGAAATTAGAGACTTGAGATAACAGGAATGATGTTTGTTATTTCCAAAATCTGTGCCTTCATGGAGTGTGACATTGTAATAAACATGATTGCTTTTTAATTACTCAGTCATCAAATGTTAAATTAGTAGTTTGTCACAATATCAAATATTGTATTATCTGCATAGAGAATTCCCCTCATCTTTTGTAAGTTAAGTTTTGATTAATTAAGTAAAGTGAGTAGTAAGTCTCATGAACTTGGAGAAAATTAAATACTGCAGATCTTGGAAAAAACTTCGTTTATTGTGATTTCTGTCAGATATGAGGATTTGTAAATGTTGATAATACATTACATTTTCTGTCTCTTATTATATGCATTTACCATGATTTCTCACTCTGAGTAATGTACGCATCTGGCAAACTAACTTGAAATTCAAGGCATATTTTATAGTTTTAAAAAAAGTGATATTAAAATCTGACCAAGACGAATTTAAAGTAATCTGAATTCTATCAGGATTTCAGTCTTGCCTGTGCTATGTATGTATTTGTAGGTTGTCACCCTTTTAAATCATTTAAAAAGTATTATTATATTATTTCAATATTTTGTGAATATTTAAATGAGTTATAAAATTTATAAGAAAAATGTAAGAAATAAAATATACTGTTAATTATGTTTTTATGAAATATGTGAAATAAAAAGTTTATAATCATATCAAAGTTCTTCCATTTGTTTATGATAATTTTGTCATTTTACATTTTCTTTGCCTTAAACTTTGGTCAAGCTTACTTTCCACAAAAAAAAAAAAAAAAAACTTTGTCACATGCCCTTTCTTATAGTTATCTGAATTATCAACTTGTCATAATTTACTATTTTAATTTCTAGAGTTAATTATTATTCTTATTCAAACAAGAAATTATCAATTATACACAGAAAAATTAAAGTCAATAACAAATCAACACTGCCAGCAAATTTTACTCTGCCCAAGCTACAGTCACTACAGGTATATAGGATAGTAGGCCTACACACTGACAGAGATGTGATACCTATGCCACGGTGACATTTTACAACTCTACTCGTCGGTTTGTTGATCATAAATTGCACATTTTTTCAAGTGTTTCATTATTAGTTTGTAGCATCCATATTTATATTTATATACATTTATACATAATGAAACAAAGTCGGCGTAACGTTACGCAAATGCCCCAATAAACAATGCATCGCACACAGTTGCGCCAACGCTTTACTGGACGAAGACGCAGGAAGACGTCGCCGGGAGCTCACTTTCGATGTTCACTCTTCGACGGCAAAACGTCAAATGACTGACGTGNATTGATTGTTAGATTTTGACGAATGATTAAAATGACCAAAACTAATTTAGTAGAATTAAGTTTAGATAGTTAAAGTAGGTTTTGGTTGTTAAATAGTGCCGATAGATTGTTGAATTGACGTCTGCATTTTTTGCGTGAATGGCGTTCCATAGTCGCCGGGAGCTCACTTTCGATGTTCACTCTTCGACGGCAAAACGTCAAATGACTGACGTGCGTGCGCATCTTTTGACGTATCACGTGATACCCTTCCAACCACCACTGGGAAATCCCCGAAAAACATTTAATTTGGATCCGCCATTTTAAGGTGAGTGAAAGAAAGGATTACCACTGCATAAGATCATTGGGATAAATATTTGGCCAGATCTGGATATTGAGGATAAAGTATTGGTTCGTTTTGTGTTTGAAAAGCACCATATGAAAAAACAGAACCCGTCTGTTTAAAAATAAGTAAAAGTTATTAGGTATTTACACGCAAGCACAGCTGTACCCATTTACTTTCTTAGAACATTTGGGATATTCTTGTAACAGGACAAGTGATGAACATTAAGGGTAAGTACCTGTGATTGCTTTCTTTTTGTCTCAATACTGGCCATATTAAGGCTTATAATTTCTCTTCAAATGATTTGTCAGTTTTACTTTTAAGAAGTGGTACCAGTATTTTATTTAAATGCTGTCCGAATACAAGGTCAGCCCTTACAAAGAAAAAAAAAAAGACAGCAAGCCACCATTATGATTGAACCACTCATACGTGGTATTCACACTAGCAAGTAAACTGTGGAAGAGTGAACTCTGATTGAATCGTGGTCGAATTAACCCAGTTTCATTGTCTTCTTACTGATATAGTTGATAGGAATGGTACAGTAGACTGCTATGTAACTTTTTCCATTCCCCATTACTTTGTACAGGTGACATCCGTCCTATTTACGTACTAACCCCAATACTCTGACTAATCCTAACCTGTACTAATCATAATGGAAGTCCCAGGACCACGATTCGGGTCAGACTATAATGTGTAATACAGTGCAACACAAGCAAGTAAACACAGGAAACAATCATTTCTAACAATTTACATAATAGGGTAATATGAAAACTAAATATATTGCTAGGTAATTAAAGGGATAACAACCATTCGTAAGATACCCACATTTCACAATAAATACATTGTAGGCAACTCAAAGAAATATTATAAATTCTATTTTACCACCAAAATGGCAGTTCACGCAATTGTTTTGGAATTTGTGCTTGCCATCACATCATCATCATCATCATGTGACCTCTATAGTTGGCTATACACTTAATCTGTTAAGAGGGTCATGGCTATCATTTCTTTTACACTTGCAGTTAAGCTGGTGCACTATTGTTCCAGTTAGAAAGTGATATGATAAACATGGCTATTATGCTGTATGAAATACTGAACTTACTCTTGAACATTGTAAACTTACAGTATTTACTTATTTTGTAAAATACACACCAGACATAACACAAGCACGTGCTCATATAATAAAATAAAATGCAAACATAAGCAAGCCACTTCAAAATAAACTTTCTTTGAAGTTGGACGCCTTGTTATTGTCTCTCCCTTGATCAGAGACCACATGTTGGACCTGATTAACAATCATGTCAGTACAAACTTGCGTCAAGAAAGAGTTTCATGAAGGGGGGAGGGGCACAAGGAGGGATAGTATACTGCAGTTCTTACATACCATGTCTGATACAGTCAGTGAACTGTATTGTTCGAATTTTTTATGAAATCTTATGAATTCCCCACTTACGTACTAGTAATTGTGGGCATGAGTTCCAAATGTAAACATTCCATCGTGACGGCTATGCAGAGTTAACTCTGATTTAACCCTTTAACCTGATATTAAGTAGATTTCTATTTATTTGGACCGTGGTCAGGGGTATGTACAGGGTAGTCTGTTCAAATTGGAATACTTGTAAGTTAACCCAGATAGGTCCTAAGGACCTTGGTCAGGTCTTAATTGCGGTCGAAAATGCAAGTGTGAATGGGGTATATGTCATCTACAGATGAGTGAAGTGTTTATTGTACTAGTTCTGTCGCTTTACCATTAACAACATTTTTCTCTTGTTTTAGTCCCTTGTTGAAGGGGGTTACCATAGCGACAGTAACCTTCCATACCCACCTGGTTATTCGGCTATGTTGGATATATACAAGGTAAGTGCTGGTTAGAAAAACACAAGTTAGAAATCTTATGATGTTTTGTAATATTTACCTGGATTGAATAAAAAATTCCTTTACTTCTAGTAGATCTATGCATAATTTTACTAGTAGCTGTATAAAAATTTTGAAGAATATAAAATATGTGAGTTTACAGCGGATTTGTTTAAAAGAATCTGCTAATGTGGCTTAAATATGTGGCACATCTACTGAAGCTGCTAAACAAAAGTTTATTACCCCTTACAGCTTCAGTAGGCATGCTAGACATTAGAACCGCTTAGGCTGTACTTCATGCAATTTAGTGAGAAACCCCTTGATGATGGATAGATTTTGCTTTATCCATCTAGGTATGGGAATGGGGTGTAATATTCTATTGTTTTTTATGGGTTTCTCTCCAGAAAATTGTCATCATTCTTCCCTGCCTAGCTTGCCTACAAGGCATCAAGACCTGTGATCCAGGTACGTATGCACGAACATGTGTTTGCATGCATGTTTGATTTCACTGATAATCATAAATATGTATGTGTAAATGAACATATTTGAAGTAGCAGACTATATGTATATATATTGCTTGTAAGTGAGCATTGTTATAGGCGGTAGACATGTAAAAATCACCATTTCTTGTAATCTTAATATTTCTGTGAAGAATTTGCATATGACTGAACATGTTTTAAATTAGGAAAAATAAGGAGCAACAGTTTTATTGAAACTGAATGTGTGATTGTGAAGAATGCCTCCTAGGTTGTATGTCAAAGTGATTTATCATTCTTATAATCCTCTTAGTTGTATTTGCATTTATTTATTTATCATTTCATTATGTACATATATTTTTATTATTTTTAATGTTTATTTCTTTATTGTTACATTATTTAAATATATTTTTATTTTTTATCTTTATTTTTTTTAATTATTTCATTATGTACTTATATTTTAATTATTTTTTACCTTTATTTATCTATTAGGTCAAGAACCTGATGGCAATGGCGGTTGTAAAGAATGTGCACCTGGTCTTTTTAATCCTAATCACAATCCTGTGGATTCCACACTTGCCTACTGTATAGCATGGACCAAATGTAATGAAAAAGGCCAGTATATATTAAAAGAAGGGAGTGCTCAAGAGGTAAGTAAGTTATCATCAAGTGTCAAGCCTGGTGCAGGCATAGAGGATCAGGGTCCAGTTTACTCTATTGTCAGTCAGTTGGATGTGGATGTGTTGTTGTACAGTTGTTGATTTGTTGCAAAGGCATTAAGGCTATCAATATATGATGTTCTTTGTCTTCATCTGCTTGTTCTTCCTTCAATTTTCCCACAGAGTACTAGTAACAGTGTTTCTGTTCCATCTTTTCTGATGATATGGCTTAGAGATTTCGTTTGTCCTTTTCTGATTGTTTTCATCAGTGAGCGTTGTAGGTGATTGATTATATGTCATGTGAGTTTACTGTGGATTGTCTAAAAACTGTAGAATTTTATACATTTTGCCTATAAAAGAGAGAATTATGATTAGTATGCTAAGTACTAGAGTACTGATTATTATGCTAAGGACTGAAAAGTGATGCAAATTACACCTTTTCTGTACAAAGAGAGGGATTTTTTTTTCTTTTACATGATTTTCATGTCAAGTAGGGTAAATGTAATAGCAGTTCAGCCAAAGTCTTCTTTTCACATTTTTCTCCCAAACTACAATGATCTGTTGGCAACTGACAGGTGTTAACAATACCTTATGGCAGTGGGTAGATAGTATCTCTAGTTTAAATTTGAACCAGTATATTTTGAAGGAATTTTCTAACCTTCGATAACTTTCATTAAATTACTGCATGTCTGACAGGTGTCATATATTAAATGTCAATAACACTACATCAGATAGCAGGATTTGCTGGCCCAGTGGTAATGTCCTTGGCTGCCAAACACTGTTCTGTTTTGTTCTTTTATTTATTTATTTATTTATTTATTTATTTATTTATTTATTTATTTATTAAATAGTGTATACTGATCTGTTATCATGGTTCAGTAATTGATGTGATGGGTATCAGCTAGTAGATTATNAGAGAGGACCAGTGGCTTTAACCACTTGTTATAGTTTATTTTTGCGTTGTATTGGATTAATGTGGCAGTCTAAGGTTGTCCTAGGTGGTTTTCAAGTTTATGCGCCGGGTTTTAATATCATTTAGCGATTTTACGACAACCGTTTACTATCCAATCAAGGTGACAGCCGAGCGTGCAAACAAACTACCCATTCGGAACTCCTCGACAATTTCCGGCTATCTTCCGAACGCCTTGAAATTAGTCTCGGATGTATGACAGTAAAAAATGTCGCCTACGCACAACATATGTGATCAGGTCAAGAACCCGGATGGACGGCGCCGCATCACTAATGTATACCGCAATCAAAACAATATAGTTCCCCAAAACACGTGGATCTAACAAATCACTCGGATGATGTTGTGCGTAGGCGATTTTTTACTGTCATACATCCGAGACTAGTTTCAAGGCGTTCGGAAGATAGCCGGAAATTGTCGAGGAGCTCTGAATGTCCTGTCAGGGCGCCGCCATGTTTATTATTGTTTACATCCGGGTATCTAGAGTTTGCACCCAAAATGGCGACGTCTGTCATACGGCCGAGATATAATGACGCAGGAATCAATCGACGGTGAGCCGAGTGACAAACTACCCTCGATGTGAACAGTTTGCTCTTGCGCAATACCGCTGTAGGTAGTCAGTCGGGGTTTTGTGGTACTAATTTAGTTCAAATTCACGTAAACTTCGAGCGACGAAGGCTTGATATATGACCAGAGCTTAGGTGGACATTCAGGATAAGGATTGGTTCGTCTTGTGTTTAAAAAGCACTATATTATTATTATTAGGGAGAACACCCTGGCTTTTAGCGAGAGGACTCCAATTTTAGGTCAAGTACATTTATGATGTACCCATCTTGTTTCTTAGAACTGCAACACTCGAAATTCTTGTAACAGGACTGCCTTTTAACATCAGGGGTAAGTACCTGTAATGCTTTCTTTTTTTTCTCTCAACACTTGGTATATAATTTCTTTTCAAATGATTTATACGTGTTACTTTTAACTTAAAAATGGTATTTTATTTCATCGCTGTCCGTATACAAGGTCAGCCATAACAGTCTAAAATACAGCAAGCCACCATCGCGACTGAACCGCTCATACAGCTTTTTACACTGGCAGGGAAATCGCGCAGAGTGAACTCTGACTGAATGACGGTTAAGTAAACCCAGTTCCAGTCGGCAAATAGCTGTAAAGCTAATGTTTCCTTTCAATTTATACCCGACATGAAATAAAAAGTATTGTATTGTATTGTATTCCATTGTTTTCTCACTGATACAGTTGATAGGAATGGTACAGTAGACCACTAAGAACCGTAGACCATTACTTTTTACAGGTGGCATTCGTCCCATATACTAACTCCAATACTCTGACTAATCGTAACCTGTACTAATCATGTGGGACCCTTGACTTCCATTCCTAGGACCATGATTTGGGTCAGACTATAATGTGTAATACAGTGCAACGCAAGCAAGTAAACACAGGAAACAATCATTTCCAACAATTTACATAATAGGGTAATATGAAAGCTAAATATATTGCTAGGTAATTAAAGGGATAACAACCATTAGTAAGATACCCACATTTCACAATAAATACATTGTAGGCAACTCAAAGAAATAATAATAAATTCTATTTTACCACCAAAATGGCAGTTCACGCAATTGTTTTGGAATTTGTGCTTGCCATCACATCATGTGACCTCTATAGTTGGCTATACACTCTGTAATAATCTGTTAAGAGGGTCATGGCTATCATTTCTTTTACACTTGCAGTTAAGCTGGTGCACTATTGTTCCAGTTAGAAAGTGATATGATAAACATGGCTATTATGCTGTATGAAATATTAAACTTACTCTTGAACATTGTAAACTTATTGACTTATTTTGTAAAATAAACATCTGGCATAACACAAGCACATGCTCATATAATAAAATAAAATGAAAACAGAAGCAAGCCACTTCAAAATAAATTTTCTTTGTAGTTTTACGCCTTGTAATTGTCTCTCCCTTAATCAGGGACTACATGTTGGACCTGATTAAGAATCATGTCAGTACAAACTTGTGTCAAGAAATAATTTCATGAATAGAAGGGGGGAGGGGCGCAAGGAGGGATAGTGTATTGCAGTTCTTACATACCATGTCTGATACAGTCAGTGAACTGTATTGTCGGAATTTTTTATGAAATTTTATGAATTCCCCACTTGCGTACTAGTAATTGTGGGCAGAAGTTCCAAATGTAAACATTCCATCGTGACGGCTATGCAGAGTTAACACTGATTAAACCCTTTAACCTGATACTTAGGCTGTATTCCCAGAGCTTTTAGATTGATCTATCCCCGCGGGGAGTCTCACTAGATTACTGTCAGATAATTTGGCTTAAATGTCTGTCCCGCGTACGACAAGCTGTAAGGGGGTAATTAACTTTCGTGTCTGGCTGACAGCTATTTAGCGTGAACCCCCAGGGAGTTAGGTCGATCTAAAGTAGATCGATCTAATCTCTGGAAATGGGGTCTTAGTAGATTTCTGTTTATTTGGACCGTGGTCAGGGGTATGTACAGGGTAGTCTGTTTAGATTAGAATACTTATAACTTGTTAACCCAGACAGGTCCTATGGACCTTGGTTAGGTCTTAATTGCGGTCGAAAATGCAAGTGTGAATGGGGTCGTCTACAGAGGAGTTGAGTGTTTATGGTACTAGTTCTGTCGCTTTACCATTAACATTTTTCTCTTGTTTTAGTCCCTTGTTGAAGGGGGTTACCATTGTGACAGTTACCTTCCATACCTGCCTGGTTATTCGGCTATGTTGGATATATTTAAGGTAAGTGCTCGTTAGAAAAACGCAAGTTAGAAATCTTATGATGTTTTGTAATATTTACCTGGGTTGAATGAAAAATTCCTTTACTTTTAGTAGCTGTACTACTTCTACTAGCTAGTAGCTGGATAAAAATTCTGAAGAATATATAATATCGGAGTTTACAACAGATTTGTCTTAAAGCTGTAAATTCTTCTACATTTTACCAATAAAAGAGAGAATTACAATTTCAGTGCTAAGTACTGAAAAGTGTTCCCATTTACACTATTAAATTGATTTATTAAGAATATAAATAGATGTTTCTGCACATTTTAATTAACAAATCTTACCCCTCGATTTGACCTGGAGTGTGAGACCCCATTTCCATACCTAGATCGGTCCTGAAGGGATTCTCCCTAAACTGCACTTGGCTAATGTGGCTTACATGTCTGGCACATCTACTGAAGCTGCTAAACAAAAGTTTATTAACCCTTAACAGCTTCAGTAGGCATGCCAGACATTAGAACCTCTTAAGCTGAACTTCATGCAATTTAGTGAGAAACCCCTTGGAAGATGGATCGATCTTTCTAGATCGATCTTGGTATGGGAACGGGGTCTAATTCTATTGTTTTTCATGGGTTTCTCTCCAGAAAATTGCCATCATTCTTCCCTGCCTAGCTTACCTACAAAGCACCAAGACCTGTGATCCAGGTAAATATGCACGAACACAGGGGCGGATCTAGAAATATTTTCTGACAGTCTTCCACATTATCATTGTTGGTCCATCCTCCATTTTTGACCGTCTTCCAACAGAAAAAAATAGGTGCTCATCAATGTAAACTTAGAAATTTGACCATCTTCCTGAAGACCTAGAAGACTGCCTCAATCCCCCCCTGCGAACATGTGTGTGCATGCATGTTTAATTCCACTGGTAATCATAATTATGTATTTGTAAGTGCACATATTTGAATTAACAATCTTTGTATATTACTTGTAAGTGAGCATTGTTATAGCTATAGGCAGTAAACGTAAAAATCACCAGGTCTTATAGTTCTTATACTGTGAAGAATTTCCATATGACTAAACGTGTTAAATTAGCAACAGTTCTATTGAAATTGTGGCCTTGTATTGAAATTATTTTTTTTCATGTTCTCTCTTTTTTTTTTTCAAAGTTGAGTTTTTGTCTGAAAGAGAATGTGTGATTGTGAAGAATGTGTCCAAGGTTGTTTGTGTCAGTCAGAGTGATTTATCATTCTCATAATCCTCTTAGTTTTATTTGCATTTATTTATTTAGCATTTCAATATGTATATATTTTTTATATAATTTCTTGATGTTTATGTATTTATTTATTATTTCATTATTTACATTTATTTTTATTTTTTATCTTTTTTTTTTAATCATTTCATTATGTATATATCTTTTAATTATTTTTCATCTTTATTTATTTATTAGGTCAAGAACCTGATCGCAATGGCGGTTGTAGAGAATGTCTGCCTGGCCATTTTAACACTAATCACAATCGTGTGGATTCCAGTTTCGCCGACTGTATAGCATGGGCAAAATGTAATGAAGAAGGCCAGTATATATTAACAGAAGGGAGTATTTATAAGGTGAGTACAGGGACGGATCCATGATTTTTTTAAGGGGGGTCGCAGTCTCTGTTGCAGTCTCTTTTTTATGTCTCTTTATAGGCCAGTCCCTGTTTTTTTAGCTCTCTCTTTTATATTGAGTCAGGTATATATATATCAGATATCACTACTCACTATCATGTTGCTATTTATCAAAGTTAATCTTATATCCAACATTCAGATTGAAAAATCTGAGGAAAATAATAATAATCTCCTATTAAGGAAATGTCCTTTTGATATTTCTGTCTGATGACCTGAAGATTATTTTCACTTTGTATCAAGAAAATGAAATTGTATTGTGGTCTCAGTCGCGTACAATGTAAATAATCCTATGTGTAATGTTTATTTAAAGCCATTGCTGTTTTATCTCAATGCTAAATTCACAACAAACTAAATAATGGCTCAATACATTTTATTTCACTTTAGAAGCTTTATTAATGAATAATTTTTTTCTCAGTTTTCATGTTCAAAGTGATATAAAATTAAAAGGTTTCCTTACATACATATGTCAGCTTGAGCTGACTTGGTTTAACTTCATTTTACCTCAGGATCGCCAGTGCTGGTGCAATGAAACAGCTGGCTATGGACCAAAACGACCGAAGCGATGTTACGAAGGCGGCTCTGTGCAAACTGGAGAGCTGGAGGAGGCGTGCCAGTGCCGCAAGTGTAAACGGGAAGGAGACTGTCCTCTGCTCAGGGATAAGAATGGAAGTCGGTGCCTTTTTATTTATTTATTTATTTATTTATTTATTTGATTGTTATGTGTTTATTTAATTTTCATTTCTTGATTTATTTATTTGATTTTTATTTATTTATCAATCAATTTATGTATTTGATTTTTATGTGTTTATTCATTTTTTTATTTGTTTGTTTATTTATATTTTATTTTATTTTCATTTCTTGATTCATTGATTTAATTATCGTTATTATTTTTTTTTTACATTTTTTCTCTTTACTAAAACAACATGCGATTAAACAGGAAAAAAAAAAACAAGCAAATGGCCATATCTTTTAAACGCAAGAATGCAGATATCCCTAAGCTCGTTATTGACAAATCAGATGTTGAATTTGTAGAATCATTTAAATTGCTTGGAGTGTATATCTCTAATAACCTCACAATGGAGTGTATATCTCTAATGACCTTCAAATGAAAGACTTCCATTATAGATTTATTAAGATATCAAATAGAAGTTTGTTTTAAAATTCAACAACAACCAAGAAATATAAGGAGCATTCACATCGAGAAGAGCGGAGGTCTAGTAAGGCCGCGGCCTAAATATGGCAGACCAACATGAAAGGAAGACTGCACATCCTGTTAATCCTCACCACGCGTGGTCCCAGCAGGACCAAAGTAATTAAATCTCAGCTCAATTCAACCGGTCGAGGGACAACTCATAGGGGGAGGAGAGACCATTAAAAGAATAACAGTCTTCCTTTCATGTAGGTCTGCCATATTTAGGTCGCGGCCTTACTAGACCACAGCTCTTCTCGACTTGAATGCTCCCATAGTATTGGTGTTCAAGCATTTTTTTAAAATTAAGTTGATGTATTCATTTGTTCATTTATTGTATTTATTGGGCTAGCAGTGATTTCATCCTTAACTCTTTGACTTGAACTTAATATTTTCATCAATATGCATACTTAGCAAACATAAAGAGTAAAAATACAATATTCTAAAAGATTTCAGCAGGGCCTTGGATGTGCAATATCTTCATTGGTTTTTGTCATATATATATATATATATATATATATATATATATATATATTTGATCTTATACATTAAACATTTCAGACCTGCTTGAAGAACTTACACTAGATGTGGGCCATGAAAGTATAGGTTTGAACTCTTGTCGGCCTTGCAGTGGGTATGTAAATACAGTTGAAATGAGGTTATATTAATTCAATAAGATTTGTTCACTGGAAAAATTAGATAAAGGTTGGTGCAAGGCATAAAATGTCCAGTATGTAGAAGAAGCCTAACTTTTTGCAATGTATGTTAATACAGTTATTTTGCCTATAATCAGATAACTTTGTGGAGTATTCAGGCTTTTTATTTTCTATTTTGCTGTTTTAAGATATTACTCTTTATCATAATTTTCACTGACCCTGTGCATTTCCATTATACCTGTTAACTTACTAAATTACATCAAAGAAACCCACTTTATTTGCCTTACCTCTAAAATATTGGTATGGAAAGCCAAAATTAATAATTTCTACAATTAATTAGGGTATATCTCCATGAGGTGAAGATCAACATGCAAGCATAAACAGTTTTTGCTATTAATATTTAACCCGAGGCTTGTCTTGTTCTTTCAGGGTACCAGTGACACAAGTGGTGCCCCCTACAACTAAGCCAGTGACAAGTTCAGTACCTTTGCCAACCAACTCCAGTGATGTCACAGACCACACAGAAATTGCAGCTGCTTCCACACCTAAAGAAAAGACAAACTATTCAGTAGTCATTGGTGTTCTTGTTGCAGTAGTAGGGGTAGTGGCTATAATAGCTGTGATGATAGGTAGTTGTTGTTTGTGAGTTTTAAAAGGCCAGTTTTAAATCAAAATGGACCAACGTATTCATTGTTAGTCCAGGCTATCTCACCTAGTCATTTGAAGCTGGTCCCTTGTCTAAACCAGAAAATTTTTTTTAGATTAAAATTTGAGTCATCTTAGGGGCCATTCAGAAAAGAAGATGTGAGTATCAGCTGGTCCAAGGATCAAATATGGCTGACCGTATATGAAAGGAAGACTGCTTTATCCTGTAATGGTCTCTCGGCCTCTCACTCCCCTCCCCACACATTGTCCCTGCAGGGGCACAGTAATTCAATCTCTGCTCCATTCAACCAGACTAAAAAGAATTATTGATTGATAAGTTATTATTTGTTGTCAAAAATCAGTATTTTTTAGATTGTTGGAGACCCAAGGAACATATTTTTAGATGCATTTTACTGTCCTATGAGCTGTAATGTGTAGAGATATGAAATTGTATATGAGATACTTATTAAAATATATTTTATTTTCAGTTATATGGAAAAGATCAGGAAACTCATGCCATGTCACAATGTGTAATTGTGTTAAAGGTAAAAACCACAGTGGACAACTTTTATTTATATAGTTTAAAAGAATGCTTTACATTGAAAACCACTGTTGTATATACAGTGCTTTATTTAGTTTTTAATCTTGAAATTGCATAACATATTATTTACTTAAGATTTACAGACATGCTGAAATTGTCGGTCTGAACAGTCATGTCAGGGAAAATTTGTCTGGACCAGTGAAAAATTGGACTTGGTCGGTCCAAAGGACCAACAAGAGTTTTAAGAACTGCAATTTCGAATATACAGTCATCATTCAACATACTTCACTTATCAAATTATTTAAAACACAAAGCGTTTCTTCCCTTCCATTTCAAACCTATCACATTCACAAACAAAGTAAGCTACCTAATCATACTGGTATTATCTGTCTCAAACAGACAGGGTGATTTTCAGTCTAACAAAAATCCATTTGGTCCAGCCATTCTGAAAAGTTTTCAGCATGTCTGGATTTAAATGAATTGTAAAGATCAAAATACTGCTTTTATGGTACAATAAAGAATCATTTGTTTCTCTTTCAGGAAACATTCAAAATAGCCATCAGTATGATCCTGTTAGTTGGTCATCATCCGGGAATTACCAAAATGGCCACACCAGTGGCTTGGAGAGGGAAATGTCTTTAATAGGTAACAGTGACCCAGAGAATGAAAGCAGTATTACTGTAGTGAACAGTAAATAATCTTGCTAGATTTGGATTCAGTTAGCATTAAGTTTTTCAAAATTGAGTAGACTGAGTAACTGACTGACTGGATCCTTTTGATGTGTGTATTGTATATGTCATCAGTTAAAAACTAAAGTGTTAGTCCTAAAGGTAGCAAAAGCTCAATTTTATAGAAAATTCAGCTCTTTTTTTTTTTAATGCCACCTCCGTTGTTCTAAAAATTATGATCCTTAAACCAGTTTTTGACTTCCTTATATCTTGTTTCTGGTCTTCAGAGAATGGCCAAAATGGCCATGTCAATGGTTTGCCAAGGAGAGAGCAGTTACAGAATGGTGCTCTGGAAAGAGAGGGTGCTCAAATGCAAGGTATTGATTCTTGGCCTAGGTTTGAAAATCAGCCAATACCGTTTTGGCTGAATCATTTCAACTGGGAAAATTGTCAATATTCCAGATACATCAAATTAGAATCATTAAAAATTAATACATTTTTGTGTATCATTTTGGTAATTTCACTGTTAAGAAAAGAACTATTAGCTAGTCTGCTTTTCAACTGTATTGTTACCATTTAATAGGAATGTTCTAATTAAAAAAAATTATTACTTAAAATACATATAGTGTCTGAAAAAATTCACAATTTTCCTGTGTGTGATCAAGCCATTATTACCATATTCAGTGGATAAAACTGAGCAGACTTTTGAAGTTGAGGTGTTTTGTCATTTGTGACACCCAGATTAAGTAATTTAGTAGTTTTATTTTATGGCAATCCTGGGCCTGTTATAATAATGATGTCTGCTGTGTACATGTAGTAACTTTTAACAAAGTGGGCTAAAAGACAAAATATTTCACTTATACCAATCTACTAAAGCTACTTAAGTTATTTAATAAGCTCTCAAAAAGTATGTCAAAGACCAATACATGCGTTTTATGTATTTACAATAAAAATTTCACTTATGCTATGATCATAACCAATTTTGGAGTCAACATATTTTATTTTTCTAACAAGTCGTTATTTACAATTTCTGTAATTGAAAAAGCAAAAAAAAAAAAAAAGAAAAAAAGATAAACAGCCATGTTTCCCAACCTTTTTCACATACATATAGAAGATTATTTTGCTTCAATAGTTTATAATGAACTTTTTTCAATCAGGTGATGATAACCCAGCCCCCCCAGTTCGTTACAAATACGACCTCTTTCTAGTGCATAGTAGTGAAGATGAGGAGGAGGTTCTCGAGTTAGCAGAACGCCTGGAAGAAGAACATGGCATAAAATGCTGCTATGCTGACAGAGATTTTCAACTTGGGAAGCGTGTCATGAACAATGTGGAAGATCTTTTCAAGGAGTGTAGACACATAGCACTTTGTTTGACTAGAAATTATTTGGCTAGTAGTTGGTGCCAGCATGAGCAGAGCATGGCACTGGGTAAAGCCACAGAGAATGGCGGTCAGGGGATGATCCCGCTGCTCTTCAGTGGCTTTCCCGAGTCTGATGTTCCACCAACCCTGAAAGCTTACTCTTACTTCAAACTGACTTCTGATCCACAGTCTTTAACACAGCTTGCCAGACATATTAAAGGTATTAACAAAGAAAAAGTCTGCTTCGGAGGGAATTTATAGATGATAACCACTTAAGAGAAAATATTCGCCAGTTATTATCCCCAGGGCTGCTGAGGGTCTATAACTGGAGGGTTAATACGTATATGCATAAGGGCATAGTGTTTTTCACCCTGTCTCTTAGTAGTTTATCCCACCTCACTCAAACTTTGCTACATTTTCTAGAAATTCTTAAATTATACGGTGGCTGGGATGTGCTGTATTTTAAAATTTTTAAAATGTTTAATTTGCCAAAAAAAAAAAAAAAAAAAAAA